TTTTTCACCCTTGCTTTTCACTTGGGTGTTTTTGTTTTTGTTGGTGCAGATATGAATCATGGATCCTCATGGCTTCTCCAACCATTGGGGGTATCCTCCACCGTCCGAGTGGTATTACCCCGAGACCCCCTGGAGCAATCAAGGAGGAGAAGACTATGGATTCGGGTTCGAGTACCAACCCCCTTACTACGGAGAACAATCATACCCCTGGGCATATCAAGAACAACCTCATTACCAAGAAGACTTTCTCCCACAACCAGAAGGTCCATAAGAGCTGGAGTTACCCATGACGGCCTTCACGGGCCATTCTGCAGAGCCATGCTATACTCCAAAGCCAGATCCAAACTATAAATTGAGGCTTCTCATGGAGCAGTTTGCTCGAGACAGTGAGAGATCATGGTCCAGGATGGATCTTTGTACCCAGGCCTATCTTGAAACAGAGGAGATCCTCCTGAGTATTAAGAAGAGCGTCGATGATCTTGAGCGATCTTATGCACAACCTGCTCCAGATCACCCTTCTGCTACCATACTAGAAGAGGAGGAGGAGGAAGAAGGCTACAAGGACATTGTGGAGCAGACAGAAGTTGTCACGGAGAGCTCCCGTGATGATCATGATCAGGAATGTCTTGTCATAGCCGACCACACCTTCCCACATCCCAAACTGAGCTTTGAAGAAGCGGGCATGAGTGAGGAGATGCAAGAAGATCTCATGAAAGAAATTGCTTGGCAACTTGCTCTCCAATCCGTGCTAGAAGAAGAAGAAGAGCCATAAAGGGTGCAGAAAGAAGTTGTGGAGGATGACGAAAATGAAGCAGAAGGAGTTCTTGATCATTTCCCAGGGGTGATACCACATGAAGAAGGAAGGGAGGTTGAAGAAGAAATTGGCGTTCAGGCTGAGGACGGAGTTGAGGTGGAAGAGGCTTGCACCGGCCATGAGTTACATGTGATATCTCCACCAAACTTCGAGGAACTACTTAGCAAGGACCCATTTGCAGTGTCTCTTTGCCAGACCAAGGCCACTTCGACATCGGTCGCTCTTGGTGGACGCGATGGTGGTCAATCAATGTTGTCATATCTGGTTTGGGGCAAAGAGACGAGAGAAGAGAAGAAGAGGTCTCGAGGGTGGAGACGTTATCTGCATCAAGTGCACGAGCTCCCATCACCTGTCATACCACATGCTCGTGACTTGAGACTCCACCTCATCGACGAGAACCTCAACTTCAAGGAGGTTTTGGGGTGGACCGAAATTTAGGATCCATCGTCCGGCTCACAACGTGAAAGAAGCGCTTGTTGGGAGGCAACCCAACCAGTCGGTTTGCATTTCTTTCTCTATTTCACCTCGGTTGAGTCAGTATTGTTCTTTGATTTTAGAGTCAATAACTCAACCTTTGTGAGATTTTATGTGGTGTTTGTGTTCTGACCACTCTTTCCTCCTGGAATACACCGCCTGCCCCGTCCACCATCATTCACCCTGGATCTGGTAACTTCGTTCTACCCTCCTTATCTTTCCTCCATTGAGGACAATGTCGTGCTTAAGTGTGGGGGGATGTTCGATTATGTAGGCGGGTTAATGTTTGGCTGTTTGTGTGCTTGGAGCCTAGTTCACTGTCCAAATTTCTATTTGAGGGCTCCAAGTACGTGTTTCCTTGCAAATTGCCTGCTCAGTATGCTTTGAAGTGACAGTCTCTATAGTGATGTGCAACCTAGGGAGGTAGTGTAGCACTATGGAGGATGTTGAAGTATAAGATTTTTCCTATCTAGCTCTCTGCTGTGCCGGTTGATTTTGTGAATTAGTGGAGCTAAGACAGTTGAATTCATGTGGTAATGTGGACTCTGTTTGAATTATGTTGTGGACTCGTGTATCGAACAGGGTGCTCATGTGGGAAATGAAAAGCAGTTGGTCCTCCATGTCGAAATTATCGAAATCTTAAACATGGGGTAAGCCCAACGTGTGTGGCACCGTTCAATGCACAAAATCGGGTTTTGGAGGAGATTTTAGTGATCCTTAGTGGGGTACTCCTACAAGGTGAAGCTAAGCTGTCTCTAGTACAAGTAAAACTTCCACCCGTTGAACGGTTTGCCTACTCGAGGATGTGTTTTTAAGGGCACAGATAGAGCTTCCGACCCCCCTTAATTTCATTGACCCTCCACACGAGTTGAGGAAAAGGAGTTAAAAGAAGTACTATGGCGAGTGCCAGATGTACAGAAATTGCTCTTGCTCGACTAATAAGGTTCGACCGTGCAAATGAATGCAGTTAGAACCCCGCCAAATGAAAGAAAAAAGGAAAAAAATTGAAACTGAAAGTGCAAAAAGGGGTTCCAACGGTGAAATGAAGTGAAAGAGCACCCCGGTACCACGAGTCCTTGGTTGTGAATGGTCTGAGTCCCTTTATCCATGAACTGACTGTCTTATTTCTACTTCTTCTCATGATCCTGGCTTGAGTCTAGTACTCGAATTGAGAGAGATAGGGGACGTCTTAGAAGACCAGTTGACCTCGTAAGCTGCTTTATGATGTAGAAAATCCTCTACCGACTATCGGGGTTGTTTGTTGCTATAGAGGTCTAGAGAGCTGCATTGGTTTGAGTTAGGTTTGCTTGGGGACAAGCAAACGGTTAAGTGTGGGGGAATTTGATAGACCATTGATTGCACATGTTTTTACCCCTAGTCTTGAGCCGGTTGAGATGTTGATTCCCGCGTTTTAGGCCGATTTCACGTTAGGTTGTTCTTGTTTGTGATATTTCAGGTCTTAGCACGTGAATGAAGGCCTGGGAACGAGTTCGGGGTCGATTGGACTAAGATTCTTACTGTAGTCTCTCTCTTCTCTATGGAGTAACTTCCCTTCACTTAGGTTTTGAGGAACCCTAGCTATGTTTGTTTGATTGGATGATTGTATGAGTCTCCTGCTTGATAATCTTGAGTTCATATTCAATCTATGCATGTTTTCATGATTCAATTCTGCTTTAGTCGAGATTATTGATTCTGCTTTGATCCTATGAGAGCGAATACCTGATTAGGTCAATAGAGCACCATAGATTGATAGTATTGGATCGATTGCTTTAGTCGAGGGTTGATTCAATGCTTTGTATCGATTGAGAACCTCATTTGATAGAGGGAATCTAGTTCAGAACGCCTTGATCGATTGTTCTAGAGAAGGATACGTCCCTCTAGGCAATTGACTCAAGAGGGCCTTGTTCCTTTAGTCGAGACTCAAGGTCTAGTTAAGGATTCTCCGCATTGTGAATGAAAGTTAAACATGTTAGAGATCATCAATCATTAATCTGGCTAGTGGCTATGGGGAATCATACCTAAGTGAGTTCCCAACCTGTAATTAGATTAACTTTAACTGTAGTTTGCTAGAGTAGTTTTAGTTCTTTCATCCTAATCTGGTTTGCTAGATAATGAGCTGAAGCTGAGTAATAGTAACTCTAGAGACCCATGGATTCGATATTTATTACTTGAGCCACTATACTGCAGTCCCTTTCATTGGTTACACTTGGCCATTGTTAGGGTTGTGTCATAGCGAGTCACTTAGTAGAGGATGACTCGAGTAGCGATGATGGGGGTGATGAAGGTTCCTTGCGGTTTATTGATGCTTTTTACGAGAATCATCCTACACTTTAGATGGAGTAGTAGGTGGCTCTCATGGTTCGAGTATAGGTTTGAGCAATCACTCGACACGTCAGTACACTGGTTGGGCTTCTACATGACAAAGACTGGTGTTTTGCTCCTACCTATGAGAAAAACAGACCTTCATGGAAGAAGAAAATGATGGACGAGGCATGACTGCTTACAGAGCAAAGTCCAAGTGGCCCATTTGTCCCCCAATTTGATCCCTAGTTTTAGTGATCACATAAGCCATTGTTTGTGGACTTCGGATTTGGATTATCCATCTCCCTAATATGCTGCCTCCACCTCCCTAATATCTCCTTTTTATGCCTCTGAAAGAGAATTTCTTTCCTTAATTCCTTCCAGGGGTGGGCATCGGTCCAGTACGGACAGGATCAGACCAAACTCAGGAGGATCTAGTGAAAGAAATCTTAGGACCAAGGACCAGACCAATAGTGTATTCGGTCTGCTTTGGTCCGGTCCAAATGTAAATTCGATCTATTTTTCTTCAGTATTTATGAAATTCATAGGACCGAACCATATTATATTCGATTCGGTGTGATCCGGTCCAAATATTGATTCGGTTCGGTGTGGTCCGGTATGGACCAAGCCATTGCCCACCCCTACTTTCTTCATAATAAAGCTCCAATTTGTGATTATGAAACCGTTTCAACTGACCACGATTGTCTTTGTCCATAACACCAAAAATTATTCACTAGCACTTGCCATCTACCAATACAGACCGGTCGGAAATGTCAAACTAACTTGCCTAATTTTGATTTTTTTTTTACGTCTTGTCTTTGTCGAATATGGGGTATATGATTTGCCCTTATAACCATGGTTGCCCTTATATATATATGGTGACTACTTCGGTGCACTCACAAAAATGAGTGCATTCAATGCACTCAACTCAAAAACTAGTCTTAAGGTGTCGGATTTTGAATTTTAATTTGTAGAATTAGTGTAATATGCTGATATAACATATGATAACAACTAATTAACTGATACCATAAGCCCTAGACCTCCAATTTTGAGTTCTATCCCTAAACCCCAGTTTGTAAACCCTAACCCTAAATCTCTAAACTCTAAATCCTTCAAATTAAAGTAAATCTTTAATGGTTTTTGTGCAAATTCATATGTGTTTGTTCATCACATCATAAGTGATGATTGACATCATTTTGACATAAATCGCATGTTTAAAATGACAGTTATGAAGTGAGTGCACTGAATGCACCCAAAAAAGTGAGTGCACTGAAGATGCCACCACACACACACATCCACACACATATTCGACTCTTTTTCTCCAGGATTTTGCTTAATTGATCTTGCCTCCAAGAAAAACCTATTATGTTGGGTATCATTAACATCATTGCTTATTAACAATGATGTGTAGGATGGATCCAAGTCCAAACTGACGGATTTGTCCTGACGAAATCAGGCAAGGCGGCGACGGGGGTATTATCAGAGACCACTTGGGACGATGTCAAAGCGCCTTTGTCTGCAACTTGGGTTTGTGCACTATTACAAGAGCTGAACTTAAGGGGGCTGCTGAAGGTCTGCGACTTGCGTGGCAGTTAGGATTCAGGAAGGTTCTGTTGAACCTCGACTCGGCTACGACACTCATGATTATCAAGAACAACCAGGATAGCAGCATCGACACGGCGTGCTCACACAAGATATTAATCGTTTGCTTAGCTTTGATTGGGATGTTCGTATATCACATGTTTTTAGGGAATGTAACTTTGTTGCTGATTTCCTTGCTAGGAAGGGTCATGACTTTCCTTTTGGCACACATCCCTTCGATGAGTGTGACCCTGAACTTCGATATTGGTTGGCGTACGATGTGATGGGAGTTTCCCAGCCTCGTTCTTTTATGAATATCAGTTAAGACGCTAAGGCATCTGTCTTTCTACAAAAAAAAAACAATGATGTGTAGTCAAAAGCTTCACCCTCATCATCTCTGTAACCTCCTTACAAAAATATACGCCCTACAAGAAAATCAAGCATTAGAGAGAGAGGTTATTGGCTTCTAAAAGTCATTTATTTGTTTCTGTATATCAATTGAGTCAGATAAGTTATTTGCATCGGACGCCTCTGTCTCTAATTCCCTTTAGAAGCAGACGTAGTAGCAAATAATATCTGCGTCTAATTACCGAATTGGAAACAATTTTTTTTTTATGGCATTTCCACTTTTAAATACCTACTTTTCTATCTTTTGATTTAGTTTTAGGGATATATATTTTTGTCTGTAATATTAGTTTTTGAGAAAAATGTATTTGCTTCTAAAAGATGTTATGGCGACACAATATTTGTCTCAATTGGATAAACTTTGAAGCAGATAAATTTGTATTTAGTTTAACTTTGATAATTTTATTTTAATTAAATATAATATACTTTCGTGGCATTTCCCTTTTTTCAGAAGGTACACACCATTCAATTTTTATAAAAGAAGAACAATAATATTAAATTTAGGTTTAGGCTAGCAAACGCCCGGGCGTACGTTAGACTACCGTACGCCCGTTTGAGTTTTGCTATTTAGATCAAGAATTAACCGGAGTTTTGGGAATGATACTATACCCTAACCACTAATGGATAAACCCCAGTCCCTAGTTTTCTAACCCAAATCATGAGATTCGTTTAATCTTAAAATGAAAATCAACAATAATTTCGACGAATCAGAACCGTTGATTTTCATTTCAAGATTAAATGAATATTATTATTTGGGTTAGTGAATTGCGGACTGAGGTTCACCCATTAGGGGTTAGGGTATAGTATCGTGCCCCAAACTCCGGTTAATTTATTGTCTAAATAGCAAAACTCAACGGGCGTACGGTAGGCTAGGGTACGTCCGGGCGTATGCTAGCCTTTGCCATTAAATTTAATTATATTTTCAGTATATTATTTTTAAAATAATAAAATACCAATTATTTTATTATAATACATGAATACATCCTTTTAATACATTAAACCACTCCAAATGAATACATCCAAGACCTAATCGAAATCAATTGAGCGAGGAAAAGTAGGCCATCACCACGTTTCTAAATCCTTACTGCACTACTCGATGAACTACTCAACTATCGGAGCAATCTAGAGGAGCGAATCATGGATCTGGCGAATTAAAATTCCAAAGATCAAATTGAGAAATAAAACTAATAATTGAAGGGGTCGTTTGGAAGTTGCGTATGTTAAATCGTTGTATTGTTACGAATCACTATGATATAAATGCATGCATTGATACAATAGATGTATTTTGAAATTACATTGTTTGGTTGTTGAGATTATAATTTATGAATTGATTGTTATAAAGTTACTTTATAAGGAAATGTCATATTTGTCCTCCACTTTTAATATAAAACAAAAAGAACTATGGACATTATTGGAAAAGGTAGAGGTGCTCAATTATTAAACCAACAATCACAACTTTTAGTTGAGATTGTACAATCCCTCATTATTGTTGATTGTTGGTGGGACCCACACAAAACAATACATGCATTGTTTTTCAACTTGACACTTCCAAACGTTGCATGTATTTAACAAGAGCACTTCTACTATGCTATAAAGCATTGGTGCTTTAATGTACAACTAAAAGTTATACCATAACGTAAAATGTATAAGTTTAGGTTGTACCATAAAGGAATTTGTACCCTTACGTTATGGTACAACTTCACAACTTGAAGTTGTACCATCACATAAAAGTATAAGTTCAAGTTGTACCATTAAAGAATTTGTACAAAACAGTATAGGTACAATTTGAAGTTGTACCATAACGTTAAAGGTACAACTTGAAGTTGTACCATAATAACAAAAACCTATATCACCAATGCTATATAGGATTGTAAAATTCCTCATTTAACAAATACAACACTAACAATCGCAACTTCCAAACGACCCCGAAGTAAAATAATCCGTGAACTCCGTTCCAGCAGCTCACACTCCGCTTTCCCATCGTAGACTGGTGGCCGCCGTTCTTGCCTGTTGACGCGATTAAGGAGATGGTGGTTTGAGGGACGAAGAAAACCATGACAGTCGTGGTTAGGAGCGTCGGGTTACAAGATGGAAGATGATGACTGGTTGGGCAGATGAATGATGGGCGTAGAACACCAACGCTTACTCCAACGGACTTATCACCTCCGAGATTCTTCCAATAGTTGGTACTGACGACTCAATTCGGAAGGAAACCATTTCGATATTTCCAATCCCTAGAGGAGAAGAAGTAACATTCGTCTTCACCGTACAAAGCCGAATCTGATAATATACAGAAGAAAAATCTGATCGATTACCCCATAAAAATGAATCTTAGGAAGCAAAATTATATTTACCTCTGAAACTCTAAGATTCGTGCTTATAGAGATCGACTGATGCGGTAATCGGAACGGAAATCAGTTGGGAGACACACTTCAATCTTTTCTAGTCGTCGTCCCTAAATTGATAGTCGTCACGGCTAGAAGGTTGGGTGGGAAGAAGAGAGATGGCGGCTTGAGGGAGATGAAGCAGCGGCGACTAGGGCTGGGGAAAGGGGACTGCAAGCGGCAGGGTTGGGATTTCGCATATCGGGGTCATTTGGATGCAGGTTTTGGGTGTGGGATTTGGGCACAATCCTACATAGTGTGAGATTTTATTAAAATCACTCGTTTGGAAAGCAATTATATGATTGGAGATTTTAAATATTAGAGATTTCAGAAACCCACAATTGTGGGATTATGAAATAGCTGATGGTGATCAGCTATTTTAAAATCCCACACAAATTCCACAAATTAAAAACCTGGGTTTTTAAACCAGTAATTTGAGCCAAAATCCCACAAATTAAAAATCTGGATCCAAATGACCCCATCAAGTCGTTTAATATACTAGTTTTTTTCTCAAAATATTTTTGGGTAATTGAATACACTTTTTCTCTAACAAATGAGGGGTGGAAGTAACTTTTATTAGTGAATAATTCCTTCCCTATTTATGTTAAGATTTAAGTAACATTTGTATTTGTTTTTAAATATTATTAGATTTACGTGTATATAATATAATTATAAAGGATATTTGTATTTGTCTCTAAATACTATTATATTTGCATCTATATGACATAGGTATAGGCGCATTTGTATTTGCTTCTACATATTATTAAATTTGTTTCTATATAACATAACTATAAGTGACATTTGTATTTGTCTCTAAAGAGTATTAAATTTGCCTCCATATGACGTACTATGAGTAACATTTGTATTTGTTTCAAAAGACTATGAGATTTGCCTATAGAGACAAATAATTTTACCTACCGAAACAAATAGTATTTCTACCCTTAAAGATTTGCTACAGAGGCCAATACAATAATTGTCTCTAATTATTTGCCTCTGTAAGTTGGTTTTCTTGTAGTGACGATAAAAACATAACTAAATCGCTCATTGATCAAACATGTTAATTTGATGTTTCAATATTAAACCTATCAAACAACAAAAATGAAGTACTTATCGAATTACTCATAACAACGACCTTGTTATTTGATGGTAGTGACCAAAAAGTATGTAAGTTCTACAACTTTGTTCTCCCTCCTAATAAATACAATAAAACAACCATTATAGTAAACATAAATAATAGAATAATATAGGCGAATTTTTTTTGTAAAAACTTGTCCAAAATCTAACACAATCCGGTCGAGACATGTGCAAAATCCGACCCAACTGACGACTGGACTTAGTTGAAAATCCGACCTAAGCGTTGGCTGGGAGGGTTGAAATTCCGACCCAGCCATCAGCCATGGGGTTTAACGTTTAAGAACCCATCCACACCATAAGGAGGAACGTGTTTAGAGATGTCTGACTGGATGATGAGCCGTGCCATTTACCCGTCTATGCTATGGCTGGGACGAGATTTAGATGAGTCCGATCCATGGCCAAACCATATTTCAACCCATCAGATTTGATTTTCCATAAAAAAATTGTTCAAACATATTACCTTCTTTTCGAGCATCTGACTACGATGGCTACCGAGATTGATGAAGCTCGTGGCTCCAACTACCTCGTCAGAATCTGACAAATACTCCCAATGAAGAAGAATGTTGTTGGGTTTTGTGGTGTGTTGTTTTGATTTTAGTTTTTGGGTTGATACATGTGTTCTTTTGGAGGGAAAGAGTTTCAAATAATTGGGTTATAAGTAATGCATGAAAAACTGTACCACATCGACGATTCGACAAAAAAAAAATCTACTACTAAATGTTAAATGACATACAGTATTTAGTAATATGAAACGAATAAAACACGATTAAACCATAATTTCATCATAAACATCCTACTACTAACTTTCCTGTTATATCTTTCCGTACACTTACCATGATTGATTTTAACTTTTAAGATCTCATCATACAAATCCTAAAATTAAGACAAGCGAAAGGATTTTTCTTTCATTTTTCAAGAAATATGAGTTTTGCCCCGTTTAGCATTAACTATAATACTTTTGATCGAAAAATGAATCTGATTTCTTTCGTTTGACAACGACAAATAGAAAGGGAGTTGCTAAAGATCGCGCCTTAAAATTGCTAAAGGTCGCCCTAAAAAAAATCAAAGTTACACTTTTAACCCCCTTAGCTTCTTTACATTCCCTTCCTCAAACAAACATCACTTGGACTAAAAAAACACTATCTAAGAAGAGAAAAATCCATCATCGTCATTTTGAAGCCAATATCGCCGGTAGGACGTCTGAATCATGAGTAGCGACTCCGACGAGGTAAAAACATGAAATGAAAAAAAAAAACACAGAAAATGGGAACCGCGGGTCACTTGCGGTTCGACCATGGTTCAACCGCAAGTGACCTGCGGTTGGACCATGGCTGGACCGCAAATCACCTGCGGTAGTACCATGGCTGAACCGCAAGTGACCTGCGGTCGGACCATGGCTGGACCGCAACTGAGCTGCGGCCAGACCATGGCTGGACCGCAAGTGACCTGCGGTCGGACCATGGCTGGAAATTTTTTGGTTTTTTTTTGGGTTTTTATGCGATTGGGCATTTTTTGGGTTTTTTTTTCGTTGAATAATTTTCTATTTTTTATATGATTTATGATTTGTTCCATGAAATAATTTGTTGGGTTTTGATTTATATAATTTTCTAGATTTATTTGCATAATTATTTTTGGAATTGAAGGATTTAGCATTAGAAATTAAGATTAGATTTGGCCTTAAATTAAGATTAGATTTAATTTGGTCTTAATCTAGAAAATTAAGATTAGATTTTGCATTACAAATTAAGATTAAATTTATTGCATAAATAATAGATTCGCATATGAAGTTATGATGATTATTAAATTTAATATAGTTATGAAATTTTAAATTTATCATATGGTACTCGTTAAATTGACGATATAGAATGTTAAGTTTTTTTTTTTTAAATTTGCGGGGTATCACTTATAAATTCTGATAACATTGCAGGATATTGGAAGTTACAATCCGGATGGCCGTGATTACACCTCGGATTTCATTGATGGCGTGAAATACACTACGGAGTTGCAAGCATATGAAGCAGCTACTGAGATTGCCAAGGGTTTTGGGTTTTATTTGGTGAGGGCATCGAACAAAAAAAATAAGAATGAAGGTACTTGGCGACATTACTTACATTGCACTCATGGTAGGAAGAAGCCGTCGAAGGAACCTGATCCGAGTAAAGAAAGGAGGCCTCTTACATCTACTGAAAAGTTGGGGTGCGAGTTTCAGATCAAGCTTGAGCGGTCAGGTGATGGATATTGGTTGATCCTAGGGGTGTCAAATACAAAGAATCCTGGTGCTAATTTGGGTTTCCACAATCATCAGTTGGAGCTATTTCCGGAGGGATCAAAGGGAAGGAATGTTTTGACTATAGAGGATAAGCAATACATCAGAGAGCTGAGATCAGCCGGTGTCCCACCAAGGAATATCCACAAGGCAGTGAATGACAAAAAAGGTGCAAATGGAACACACAACAGAAAGCAGATTTATAACGGGTGTCACAAGATAAGGAAAGAAGAGCTTGGTCAGATGACAGCCTTACAGTATACTTTCCGCATGGAGAAGGAGAAGGGTTGCTATGTGCAGTATATGGACGATCGTAACGTGCTTACACACTTGTTCCTAGCCCACCCCGAGTCAATAGTGATGTTGCGAGTTTGGCACCATGTGATCGTGATAGATGCAACATACAAGACCAATAAGTATGATATGCCTTGGGTTGAGATTGTCGGCATGACACCAGTGGGATTGAACTTTGTCATTGCATCTGCAATAGTGTACGACGAGACGAAGGAGTCGTACCAGTGGCTTCTGACGCATTTGCAACATCTTCTTGGCCCCATTGTTCCATATGTGTTTGTCAGTGACAAGGCAGGAGGATTGGTTGAGACCGTGGGGGTAATGTTTCCATCATCGACTTATATATTATGTCTTTGGCATATGGATAGGAATGTGAGAGCAAAGTGTCTAACGGAGGTGCGAAGGACGACTCATTGTGGTATAGATGCAGCCAAACCGACAGTGGATCATATCATGGCGTCTTGGCAACGTGCTGTATATGCATTGACAGTGGAAGACATGGATACTGCCTTAGACAATTTCAGACGTAGTTGGGGAGTACAGTACCGACGTCTTTGGGGGTATATGACAGCTGAGTGGTTACCAGTTAGACACATGTGGGCTAAATGTTATACCAATCAACTGCGGCATTTGGGTAACACAAGCTCTAATAGGGTTGAAGCTTCCCATTCCTCCTTCAAGAAGTGGCTTCAATCATCTCCCCCACGCACCAACAATCCCTCTGCATGCATAGCACCATTATCGTACCACTTAGACTTCCACTTACCACCAACCTGAGCATCCACCGAAAGTCGAACTAGACCACCCATGTCTGACTTAAGAGTATCCTGTGACGCCTCATCTCCCATCAGCTCTCCGTCAACCGGTATCCGAAGAATTTGATGCACATCGTGTAGAAGGATCGAAATCTCTCCAAACGGCATGTGGAAGGTGTTTGTGTCCGGCTGCCACCTCTCCACAAATGCCGATAGTAGAGCCATGTCTAAATGCTGCATCATGCACCCTGTCAAGTGAGACAATCTTGTGGCTTCAACCATCTCCTTGGAACCCTCTACACTCCACTTATATCGCCTCAAAGTCTCTACAGCTCTCGGCCTATGGAAGCCGTCCAACACTCCACGGTCCTGCTCAGGGGAATTCCACAGTACGGAAGTGGGAGGAGGCCGTAGAAGATATCCCGACCCGCGCCGTCTTCCCCACGCCTAAATCAGCTTGAGGTGGGGCATCCCCAGCCTCAGCATCACCAGCACGATCACCAGCATCATCAACAATAGCATCACCAGCATCTGGGGCATTCCCAACCTCAGCATCACCGTCATCATCATCATCCTCGTCAATGGAATCACTCCAATTAGCCTGCCATACCGGTGTGCTATCTGGTGTAGGAGTACTGGTAGTACCTCGACTAAGAGACAACTGCCCCACAGTAGGGTGGTCTTCAGGACGCACTACATCCGCCTTCTTCTTCTTCCTTCTAACCTTAGATGGATTTTTTTCTTCATTTTCCTTCCTACCAGTCGCCGTAAGTCTACAAGCACGACCTTCCATTCTCTCCTTATTTCTCGCCTTAATCATATCCGGTTTACCCATTCCATGTCCAGACATCTTCAAAAAAAAGTTTGAATTATTAATAATGGAGTACATAAAGTAATTAATTTAAGATTTTCATAATTAAAATTATAAAACTAATAGTTTTAACATTTATGTTACGTTCTATATAATAATTATTTACTTTTTAATTAAGATAAATTATTAATAATTAAGTAGATAAACGAATTACTTTGAAATTTTGATTATTAAAATGATAAAAACACATTTTTAATTTTTTTATAATGTTCTTTAAATTTGTTATCGTTAATTAACAATTATCGAATACGTTTTTAAAATTTTTATATCATATAACTAAATTATAACTAAATTAATATTATAACTAAATTAACATTTATCGAATACGTTATTATTAATTATCATTATAACTAAATTAACATTTATCAATAATATAACTAAATTATTTTTATTAAGTATATTTATTAATTATTATTAACATTTATTTAACGAATAATAAAAACACAGAATTAAAAAAAAAGAGAATTAAAAAAAAAAACGGGCCGACCGCGGTCAAAGCGCGGTTTGACTGCGTTCGGTCTCCCAACACACCTTCTTCTCCGGCGAGACTGGTGGGCGGAGAGGCGCGGGCGGCGAGGGACGGCGGCGAGGTTGGCACGGGCAAGGGCGGCGGCGAGGCTGGCGACGGGAGCAGGAGGTCGCCGACGGGAGCGAGACCTTCTTCTCCGGCGCGACCTTCTTCTCCGACGGGGTTGCCAAACTGTTGCTCCGGCGGCGAGGGACGGCAAGTCTCCGGCGGCGAGGGACGGCGGGAAGGGAGTTTGCAGAGGGGGTGGGAGTTGCCGGCGGCGGGTTTTATTTGCAGAGGGTGAGGGGGTTGCCGGCGACGGATGAATTGCAGAGGGTGAGAGGAATCTCGCGTGGGAAGGAGGGTGAAGGGGAAGGGTTGTTTGGCTGGTCCATTTTTTTAATTTTCATTAAGGGTATTTAGGTAATTTGACTTTTAAGTTAGGGGGAGATTTAGCAATTTTTTGGACGACTTTTAGCGATTCAGAATAGAAACACGCTTAAAATATCTTCTCCTACCGAAACGAATCGTCTGCTGCCTGCAAAAAACGCGAATCTCTCTCGGTCTCTCTATCCCGACAGCGAAATCGAACTGCTTCGAAAACAAAGGTCGGGGGAAATAAGCAACCCACCACCAGAAATACGGATCCCCAGCTCGCCGGCCAATCGAAACTCCTAACGCTATATCGCCCTCATCCCCAGGGTCCTATGCTTTCTTATCCATCTTCTGGTGCACACTGAAACCCCACTGCAGTGGTCGATTTATGGTCACTATATTAGGCGGAGCTTGTAAAATTAGGGTTTGGCAAATGGCTCAGCTTTTTTTCTGGCTATGAGGAATTAGGTTTAGGTCCTTCGCGTATCGAATGAACGGATACTTTTTTGGCGTTCTTTGGTTTTGGTAATGGTGGTAAGTACTGTAACCCAAATGCCTCGGGCAGAATAAGATGATGGGTAGGGGTCCCGATGGAGGTTGCGGCTCCGGCGAGAGGCCTTGCCGCCTTATTTGTAGAGTTACTGGGCCAAACTCTCTGGCCGCTGCCGAACCTGAGGTTCCCGCCTCAATGGAAAAGAAGACAGTTCAGTTGCTGGACGTTGATTTCTTCTCACAGGCACGCAAAGCGTTGTGCGAGCGGTCACCGTTTGATGTTCCTGAAGAACTTCCTGGTTCCGTTAGCTCGACTTCGACTACTTTGCCTAGTGGACTGGCCAGTTTGTTGATGCATTCTGAAAGCAGGAAAAAGAACAAGAAGTCACATCAAAGCAGTGGTAAGAAGTCGTCCCGGGCAGGTGAACGTGCTAAAGGAGGGAACATTTGGGTTGAAACTGGGGATTACTTTAGAGATTTGCGACTGACAGATGTTGATGCTTTGTTTGAGCTATGTTCTTCTCTTAGGTCCCTAGCTGCTAGAGGTTGTTTTTCACTTCCAAACATTGGAAATGGGACAAAAGAGAGATTTGAGTCCTGGTCTAACCAGGACAATCCTGATACTGATCTGAATGCCTGGATGGAGAACCGAACTGGGATGGTTTCAGAAAGTGAGTTGCAACAAGAAGGGCAGCAGCAGCGAGTGGAAATTGATAGGCTGGCAATTCAAATTGATGCGACTGAGCTTTTGCCTCCTGCAGACAGTAGCTACGTCTCCCCTTCATATTTTTCTGGCGGCTTAGGTTGGGTTTTGGGCTGTAGGAACAGAAACTTGTTGACTTCAGAACGTCCTGCTAAGAAGCGGAAGCTGTTAAGTGGTGATGCTGGGTTGGACAAGGTTTTGATTGGTTTACCTTGTGAAGGCAACTCATTAATATGTGATTTCTGCTGCAAGGGCGACTTGTTGAATGGTTTGAATAAATTAGTTGTTTGCTTCTCTTGCCATGCTGCTGTGCATAGTAAATGTTATGGTGTGCAAGGTGATGAAGGAAGCCCTTGGTTTTGTACTAGATGTAAGCAGAACATCGATGATAAAGATATGGAGAAGAAACCATGTGTTCTTTGCCCGAAGCAGGGCGGTGCCTCTAAACCAGTTGGTGACCAGAATGGTAGTTCCAAAGCAGAGTTTGTGCATTTGTTTTGCTCTATTTGGATGCCTGAGGTTTATGTGGAGGATCTGACCAAGATGGAGCCAATTATGAATGTTTCCGACATCAAGGATACACATAAGAAATTAGTCTGTAATGTGTGCAAGGTGAAATGTGGTGCATGTGTTCGGTGCAGTCATGGTATGCGTTCTCGGTACTTTATTTTTTAAATTTACTGTTTCCCTTTTTTTTTGGTTGTGGCTGGATTTGAAATTGTTTGGCTACTTTGTATCTCTTAGTTCTAGAACCAGAAGTGAATCTATCACAATTTCAGGGCTGTTTTATACTTGTAGTTGATTCATCTTGGTGCTGGCCTTTTACATGATTTGCTTGTAAAGACTCGGTGTTTATGCATGATTTTAAGCTAGATATGCTTCTCAAGGGCACTCTGGCTTGTCAATCTTTGTCTTTTGGTAGCTGTCATGCTGTGCCATTGAACGCTAGTTACTACATATAGATCTAAGTTTATTGCTTTTGGATCAGGCATGCTTATTATTATCATTCTTATTCTTTTCTTCAGTAACCGATTCTATATCATTAAGTACTAGTAATTTGGTTTGGACCCATGAGTCTGATTAGGGCTTCTGTACCCGTGCATTAGTTTAAATATTTGTCTTCTTGGTACCCCTGATAAATAGTTGGTTCTGTTGTTAAGGTTCAATTTCTTTTTTTATTGTTCCCTCTTCCTTTTTCTTGTTGTTTTCTTCCCGAGTTCTCTATCTAATGGGCTTGTCAGTCCTTTTTAGGTGCTGTCTTCAGCACTATCAGGTCTCTGTATTTCCATATTAGCTTTTTGTCATGCTGTTCGGGCTTCTGCCTATATTCAGTTGCACTGCGCTTCTCGTTTCCCCTTCTATCCTTTTTCCTTCAAGTAGAGCATATTCTTCTCAATATCACGTTGGTTTTGATCTGGGTTTATGTCAACATTTACTATCTGAGCTTGGTTTTCATTTGGCCAATGTGTTTGAATGCTTTGTTGGGAATGATGTGTAATGTCATATGTTTCATGTTCATGCCTGATTTTCCCCCGATAGGTCATTCTATTGCAAATTTTTTTATAATCTTTTACTTGACTGTTTACTTTGTTGTGATTAAACTTGTCACCCCTTGAAATCGGTCATTTAATCACTCTCCTCTTGCCTTCTACAGCCCTAATAAGCTCACATGCTTACATCATTCCTCTTGCTTGGGTTTTCAGGAACTTGTAGACTTGCTTTCCATCCTATATGTGCAAGGGAGGCAAGACATAGGATAGAGGTTTGGGGAAACTATGGGCATGATAGTGTAAGCTATTTCCTCCCCTCCACCCATTCTTAAGACATAGCATGCCCTAGCAACAGTATTTTATGGTTTTACGACCAAAGTTTCTTCTATATCGGGTTGGATTATTCCATGTAATTAACTTAGGATTGCCTACTCTCATTCTGTTTGAATCCGCAGGTTGAATTGCGTGCCTTTTGCTCCAAGCACTCTGGGATTCTTGATGGCAAAGACAATTTTCAAGCTGGAGAAGCTTCTTTGATTCTAAAAAGGGTCTCTGGTGTTAACAATAGTTTGGCCAAGCTGTCTCCAAATAAGCATCACACGATCAGTGAAAATGGAGATAAATTTGCACCTTGTCTACGATCTCCTGGTCTTACTACTTCTACTGTTAAATCTGGAGACTTTGATCAAGATGGCCTTGGGTCTTTTGTTTCTAAAGAAAACAGGCAACTTTTATTAGATGGGGATACATTCCAGAGGAGTAATCTGTTCATGTCCCAGAGACCTGTTATTGAGGATCCTAGCT